GTTGATAGATCACGTGATCGAATGAATGATTGCCGCCTTTACATTGTCAGAATTAGGATCACAATAAAGTCTATAAGTGCCAGGATATCCTGGAAGAAAATTCTTGTAATAATGAGGTTCCTGAACCAAAGCACAGTCAATATCATCAGCTTCCATATTTAAAATTAGCTGTTGTGTCGCAGATTTGGATTTATGAAGATTTAACTGCACACACTTTAGAACGCGTCTAGCCAATCTAGCCATAATCAATTCGAGATTGAATGTTCTTTCTCATAAATTCATGACTAGGACAGCATTCTGAAAAGGGTTTGTGATTAACATTCACTTTTTTATAGCTGTTATTTGTTTTATGATTGAAGCGGATGCAATTTATACAAGCTACAGCATTCCTATTCGAACAATCCCTTGCCTTGTGTTCTCCAGAACAGTTAAAACAGGCTGTTCGCTCACGACATTCATCAGCACGATGGTTGTACCCAAGACACTTAAAACATCTATTGATGATAATATAATCGTCAGTTTCACATATACTCCAATTAATTTTCAACCTGGCTTGATTCAGAATACGTTTACGAACCATGGGGTGCGTTTCAATCACAACGTGCCTCGTGAACTGGAAGGTTTTTAAAGTAAAACGAACTCTACATATACTTCTGGCTCCTATGCCTTTGTTTCAGGTTCATTTAGAGAATGTACCAGGGGTGCAATCTATTTATGATGTTAAAAAACTACTATGTTTCTTTGTTGAAATACATCCTTATAAAGTGCGTGGAAATGTTGTGCAGTGTCACAACTGCCAACACTTCCACCACAGTAGTGAAAATTGCAAACTACAACCAAGATGTGTGAAATGTGCGGGTGCACATCGTACTGATAAATGTAATGTTAAAAAAATTAGACTCTCCTATTTGTTGTAATTGTAATTGCCTGCAAGAAGGACACACCGCCAATTATCGCGGATGTCCGAAATTCCCCCGACGCATAGTCGGAAATAAAACTGTGAATAAGAGTGCAAACTCAGAAAATGTAAATAATGGTGTTAAAATGCCTAGTACTTCTAATGCAAATTTGAGTTATTCTGCTGTTGCCTCCGGGCGCAGTTATGCTAGTGTAGCCAAGGGTGACGTTCAAAGATCTGTAAATACTGTTAATAATTTTAATGTTGATATGCATAAACAGACTGTCAGCAGTGGTGGTGCTGCTAGTGCTACTGTTGGTTCGGGTATGTTTATGGACTTTCTCAAAATAATCAAAGAGGTGTGTGATGTTTTTAAAGGCACCACAGTTATGAATGTTTTTCAAAAAATCTCGGCAGCCATGCCTGAATTGCGGGCTGCGGAGCATTCAATCGATAAGTTGTTTATATTATTTAATGTTTTTGACAGTGTTTTTTCCAATGTTGAATAATTATGTATAGTGTAAACAATAGGTACTTAAGTATTATTACTTGGAACGCAAATGGTTTGTTCCGTAAGATTAATGAATTGCGGGATTTTGCAAGCAAGTGAGCACAGTCCCGACTTATTTTTCCTACAAGAACACAAGCTTGACCCTAAAATACCATTGTGTGTGGCAAATTACTATACCTACAAGTCGCACAGAAGTACTACCGCTCCTCGCCCACGTGGAGGTGGCACTGCACTTCTTGTCAAACGCTGCATTCCCCATTATCACGTGAACATTCCACAGCTCTCAGCCGTAGAGGCCACAGCTATCTGCATCACAACAGACACTAACACTCCATACACTTTTGTCTCCACCTACATTCCTCCCATGAGACCTGTGGCTGTCGTTCAGGCAGACCTTGAAATTCTACTCACACTTGGTACACATGTTATTATTGGTGGAGACTTGAACGCAAGACACCGCGCATGGAACTGCTACACTTCTAATGCAACAGGCAGACTGATTTATTCCTTGGCCGCGTCGGCACGGTTTAAATTGGCAGTTCCAAGTACCCCAACACGGTATGCTGCTGGGTCCACCGCAATTATTGATTTTTTCCTGTTGCGGAACACCAGTTCTCCACTGGATATTTACCGTACTGGACGAACTTTCAAGTGATCACAATCCTGTTAGGATTATTCTGGACCTCAGCAGATATACTACATCAGACACCAGGGCCTTTCGTACAGACTGGCAGGTCTTTGCCAAAGCCCTCTCCAACACCCAGTACACTTTACCCACGATACACAAGGGGAGTGACATTGATAGTTTGGTCAAGGACCTCACTGAAAATATACAAAATGCTTATGCGAAAGCACAAGTTGAAGTTAAACCTGGTATGAAACACAAGCCTCAAGAGCTCAGATTATTGATTAAAGAGAGAAATGCTGCAAGACGAGCGTATCAACGTACCAGACACCGTGATGATAAAAGGAACTTCAATCGCCTGTGCGAAGCGGTCAAGTTTCTTACAAATAAACTCTCACAAGATCGCTGGACTAACTACCTCAGATCTCTTTCTGCAGAGGATAACTCCTTATGGAAAGCAGTGAAGAGAGGTACAAAAAAATGCTATAAACGCCATTCCGCCCCTTCACGGCCCTCAACGGATCCATTACACCGGAACTGAGAAAGCAGAACTTTTAGCTCAGCATCTGGAATCTCAGTTCTGCATTAACAACATTTCAGACTCAGACACTGAACAGCTTATTGCTGACTTCCACTCCAATTTTACAACACAGCCATGCACAGACAACATTATCTCAGCCATGCCATCGGAGGTCTGTCTCTATATCATGCGAATTGCGAAAAGGAAGAGCCCTGGAGTAGACGGGGTCACAAATGAGATGATCAAGCACTTCCCTGTCAAGATAATACTCTACTTCACCAAGTTAGTGAATATCATACTACGATGGCAATACTTCCCAACTTGTTGGAAAAACTGCCAAGATTGTCCCTCTGCTAAAGCCCAACAAGCCTGCGACTGCTCCTGAGAGTTACCGACCAATCAGTTTGCTAAGCTCAATTAGCAAAATCGTGGAAGCAGTTATTCTACATAGACTAAACATCTTCCTGGATGAGCAGAAGATCCTCATACCCTATCAGTTTGGGTTCAGGCGTAAGCACTCGACAACGCATCAACTCTACAGAGTTGTTGAGTTAATAAGCAGTGGGATGCAACAACATCGTGTCACTGGTGGACTTTTCTTAGATGTCGCCAAAGCCTTCGATAGAGTATGGCTGGATGCCCTCATATACAAATTACACAACCTGGGACTCCCAGGCTACATCACAAACATAATTAAATCCTACCTAACCGGTAGACCGGTAGACACTTTGTCGTTCATGTTTCTGTTTCATTATCCACAAACCGGCTTATACGGGCTGGTGTTCCACAGGGATCCTTTCTGGGCCCTACCCTATTCAATGTTTACGTGAACGACATCCCCACTACACACAACACAACACTAGCCATGTATGCAGACGACACAGCGATCCTTACGCAAAGTGCATTTGTTAGTTCAGCAATACAACAGCTACAACACCACATCCACTCGCTAGAGAGACTTGGCTGACCAAATGGAAAGTCAAAGTGAATGTCGACAAGACACATGCCATACTGTTTACTACTAAGAAGAATTTCCCGACTCCCCTGCAAATGTATGGTGTGGATATTCCCTGGGTCAAGCAGGTCTCTTATCTTGGGGTGATCCTCAGTAAATCTCTTACATGGAACCCACACGTTACACATAGTCTCAGGAAGTTTCGAGCTAATAAAGCTTCCCCTTAATTACTCGAAACAGTGTTCTATCTATTGATAATAAGTTGCTCATTTACAAAACCATGTTGCGTCCAATTCTTAGTTATGCATGCCCCGTCTGGGCATACTCGTGCAAAAGTTTGAGAAGGCAGTTACAAGCTGCCCAAAACGGGGTATTGCGTATGATGATATGTAATGCCCCCTGGTACATTCGGAATAGCCAAATTCGTAAAGAGTTAAGAATAGAGGATCTTTGTGATTTTTATTGCCGCCTATCTAGGGCATTTTATGATAAACAGGAACTTCTGGACAATCCTGTGGTTGTTAACTATTGTTATGATACTAGGGACCCCAATTTCAGTAAACGCCCAAGGGCGATCCTAAATGTTAGTAATGTGTAATTTTGTATATGTGTTATGCAAATTGTTGCTCAGATTCTTTATTGTATATTGTTCTTTTTTCCTCCTGATTGCTTTTTGTTTTTACTAGTGGCACTAAGGCGTCGCACACTTCGTATTTTGTTTCTCTTGTGTGTACATGTATTCTTCTGTGAAATAGTTGTTAAAAAATAGTTAATTATGTATGGATTAGTAATTAGGTACTTAAGGAAAAAAAATTGTATTTAACTATTAGCAATTATGAATTTAAACTCTTGCTCATTTAATTATTTAGCACATTCAGTTATATTTCTCATAATTCGAAACTTTTATCATGTTATTCGATGAGGGGTAGGGCTATGGCGCCCAGGCACCCTGGTGGTTAAGCACCGCAGTTCAACTACATATACTTCTGTTTTCATCAGATTCAACATCTTCGGGATTTTGTTCAAAAATCACTTTCAGAAGATCTTCATTAGGTATTTCATTAGGCACATTTTTTACAAGTAAAACGGGATTCTCTTTTTTGGCAAGGACGTGTTCAATTCCGGAGACTTTTCATTAATCTCGGCTTGAAGTCGATTCCGATCATTTTCTGTCAAACACTTAACCAAAACTTTATCTTTTCCAATATTTTTTTAAAGTATATACACCTAACTTAGCTTCTAATGGATTAATTTTTAGTTTAATAACTTTCTTACATCGTCAGAAGAGCAGTTTTCAGAGTCTACAATTAAGCAATAACAATCCGAAGAAATCCAGGAATTTTTCATTAATCCTCGTAACATCAGATGGCGCCACCACACTAGCATAACTAGGTCTTGAAATGGCGTCTTTCAAACTTTCCTTACATGCATCCATAAATTTAACAGCTTTGATACGTTCAAAATTCTTATAAATAGAAAATTTCAACTCACCCAAAGCCTGCCTGGCCTCCTCGCGAACCTGTTGATTCATATTGCATTTAGATTGAAGTGCTGATTCAATAATTTTACAGTGTTTTTCAAGAACATCGTAAAACACGTCATCCTCCGTAGCAGCCATTGCCGTGCATGCAAATGGGGCGTTCCGGGTCGATGAAATTCTCAATTATTCATTTCTTCAAAAATAATCATTATCTTGATACAAAAGGCACATTTTTCAAAACCGGAGCACAAAACAAATTATAAAAAAGCACTTTCAATAACACAGAACCAATATGCACAGAATAATAAAGTCTTTTCATCACAGCACAAAACTGCCAACCAACACGGCTGCTGACATGCGCCGAGATTGCTTGCACGTACTCCATCTTCGCAAGAGGGTTTGGGCTGCGTTTCTCTTTGCTCTAGAAGATGCATTTTTTCTGAGATATGTTTAAAAGTTTTGTGCGAGCTGCAAGGAGCATTTTTACTGTGAGCTGATTACTACTTTAGTGCGAGATGTATAGAGGAAAATCTACCAAGAAAATTTAGCCCAGATTTTCTCTCTTTACCCAAATCTCAGGTTAATATCTTCTACACCCGAAAATTTAGCATTCCCGAAGTGAATATACCTGGCACTTAAAAGTTCCGGAACGATGTGTAGTTATTACTATCCGGCTCATGTGGTTCCTGACGCCTAGACGATCCACACAGAAATATGATCCTGAAGAACGAACTTTTCCCTGATCTAGCGGTTAGTTTTATAAAAAGAACTTCACCCTGTTTCCAGATATTCTTGTGCAGAATGTACTTCAATGCGCGAGTGTTAGTTTTTTAACTGTGATCAAGGTGTTGGCTCAAGGAAATAGACTTCCTCCGTGAGAAAAATTGGACACTTCCCCCCAAGATTATATATTCCGGAAAATCTGTGAGTGATTTTTAAATTTGTCTACCTCTCTATCATTTCAAATTACTTAAACGAAAATTATTTATTTTATATATGTAAACTACTAAATGATTAGAATATTTTGAATAATGACCAATTAATTTTAAATCTGTAAATGAAGGTTTAAAGATTTGTTTTACCAGCTTAATTAGTGAGCTATTGAGTGTCAAAAATAGTATGTTAATTTTGGAATGAGATATGTGTTATTTTTCATCTTAAGGTATATTAATTTTTGTAAGCTGTAATTGCGTGTGACATTATGTGTTACTTTTCATAGTAAAATATGTGGTAGGATTACTGATCAGTTATCCATTATTTAATAATATAATATATTCAAGAATTTAATAAATGTGTGTTAAAATTTAATTGCATTTGTGTATTTATCTTGTGCGTAATTTACTGTAGTCTGTCATGTTCCTCCATTTGTTTGAGCTGGGAGGCTTTTAAGAAAAATGGAGTTTTATTGAATTTAGGTTATTGATTTTTCCCTAGTGTGCTTCACAACGCGCCCTATTGTACTAAACCAATACCACTATACGATTGATAGATATGATATACAATTGTTTATTCGATTTATCTTTTGATATCTTATAATTAGATTTGTTTTGATTATGTTATTTTTTTTTAGTTAGTTTGTCCGGCACCATAAGTTGAGTCAAAGTTTAAAGTTTAAAAGGGTATCAAAACCCCCAAATTTTCAGAGATACAACAATAAGATATTCAACAAAATTGGCATATCATTTCAGAAAGAGGTCCGATTTTGTGTCAAAATACATATATTAGAACAATGCTATGTATGTTCGAAAGCTAAGTCGCGCTATCGAGAAATGAAAAACGCAATTTGAATTTCGTCAATCGGCCCAATAGAACGGGAGATTTTTTTTTTTTTTTTTTTTTTTTTTTTTTTTTTTTTACTGATTTGTACTTAGATAATTGTTTAAGAGCATACAACTCAAATTATACTGTCGATTATAATAAGTTGGCAGATGAATTACAAACACAAATTTTGCACTAACGTATCAAAAAAAAATTCTTTAAAGCGTTTGAATTATAAATTATTGTTATTTCGTTCAATAAAGTTAATATCTTTTAAACAAAAATAGTTTTGAGTATGATGTTTGATGTTTGAATTATGAAACATGAATGGGTTACCCTAAGGATTTAAAATTTTATTTTATGGCCTTGATGTCTAAACGTTTGCCGACCCCTGCTTTATAGTACGTAATTAAATTCCTTTCTCTTATTCTTCAATATCGATTAAAAGTTTCTATCAAACTCCATAACAAAAGTATAGCAAAGAAAGAAGCTTATATTCTAGCAATCCTTACTGATATTATAAATGCGAGTTTGTTTGTGTGTTTGTTTGTTACGCTTTCACGCCTTAATTACTTAACCGATCATCATGAAATTTTCAAGAAATATTTTTGATGTATTAAAAAAGGTTATAGGCTATAAAATGTCTTCGTACGACTTTAATTAGCCGAGATATTAATTAAAAACTACTTTTCCACTTACTTTCTTGGGTTTTTTCCTATTAAAGGGATTTGGCTACGTGCCAATTTATACTTTTACAAATATCTATGGAACGGCGGTTAGTTGAATTTCGAGACACATATCCGCTGATGCCAAAAATTCGTCGGAATATGTCGACACCATTCTCATCTTCGTACGACTTTAATCAGCTGAGATATTAATTAAAAACTCTGAAAACGCTAATTTGAATGTTACTCAATAGCGACATTAGGGTCTTCCCTTCTTGAGTCTTCCCGTGTGGGTCCAATAAATTGGTAATAACAGTTATAACTTTTGATCTAATTATCCAAATTTCTCGAAATTTAGAAATTTGTGTTGCTCTCTGAATCATGGGAACAATGATGGTGTAACTGTTTTTGTCGCTTAATTATTTCCAGCTTAATCCCAGATGAAACAATGCTCCACTTGTTATTTTTAACTCTTTGTTGACAGGCTGCGATTCGAAAGCGACGGAGGGAGGGAGCTGAAATCCGGTCGACCGTTGGGTTGGCGATCAAAGTTCACGGATTTACACGTGGAAACTTCTAATTAACTTACCAATTTGAAACTATTATCAACATTTCGATTTTTGAGATATATTTAATGTTTTGTTTCGTATTTTTTTAAAGATCTATTCATTCGTGTTATATATTTCTGTTATTGTTGCTTCAAAAATTGCAGTGTTACAAAATGTACAGGAGCGATGAGATAGCTTCGCCGCAAAGCAGTTTTAGGGTAGCCATAAACTTGCAAGGGAAGGCAGGTTTGCCACATTTGGCGACAAAATTGGCGATATGCAATGGACGGATGGAGAACCTTCTGGAACGAATTCTTACCGGTTTAGCCAAGAATGCTCTCGAACACAAGCCGAAAGCTATATAAACCTTGCTGGTCCGCAGTCAGTTAGTGTGTGCCTCGCATAGAGTGCGACAGAGTTAGTATAGAGTGTGTGCCTCGTCTAGCGAGCTGATAGTCAGTCATTGAGCGAGTGTCTCGAAGTCTAGCGCCGAGTTGGTCGTCGAATGCATCGAAGAGTCTCTTAGTGTATCGCGGTTAGTGCATTCTCGAGAGAGCGTGTTGAGCTCCGGGAACGACTGAACCGAAGAGTCGGGAGCCGTGCTCTGTGTGTCGTCGAGTGCATCGCAAGTTGTAGCGTGGAGAGTCTCGAGAGTACGTGGAGTTCCGAGAACGACCGAGCAGAGTCGGGAGCTGTACGTACTCTGGTACTTTGCAGTGAAGTTGTCTCCACCGTGATAGCCTGATAACCTGAAGGCTGTGCCACTGATTGTGTCAGCGTGTTTATAGTAGTCCTTCAACGACTGTAACGTGATTTTGGAGCTGCCCTGATTAGAACTGGCTAAATAAAGTGTGTTTCGATACTTCATCAAATGTCGTCGTTATTCACTCCCACACGAATCCCGTACGAACGTGAAGGAAGAAAATAACGTAACAGCTGGTGACAGAAAAGAAAAACCGTAACACTATTATCAATATTTCGATTATTGTGATATATTTAATGTTTTGTTTCGTATTTTTTTAAAGATCTATTCATTCGTGTTATTTATTTCTGTTATTGTTGCTTGAAAAATTGCATTTACAGTTTATATTCTTTACATTTTACTGTGTGCGATAAAAAATTTTGTTTTATCATTTTAAGGCGCTCGAATGCTCTTTATTTTGAAATTTTACGCGGAGTGTATTTTTAAAATACACGCGGAGTTGAAACTTATTTAAGGACATCAACGCAAGTGAAGCTGCGGGTAAAGCTAGTATTGTACAGACGGGGGGGGGATGAGAAAAGTGAAAAAGTAATTTAAAAAAAATTCCTTTTTTTTTAAAGACAGGTTTGTAAAATTGCTATCCGGGGGGGGGGAGAGAAACCAAATACGTAACCAACGTGTTAAGTATAGCAGATTTTAAAACCATATAAATTTGTGATTCTTCCTCATTTAGAACTAAACGACCAAATTACACAAGCAAATATAAATACAATTTTCATCATTCTAAATAATTCAATGGAAAAAACTTTTATGATTTTGTGCTGTGCTATTTATTTACTGTATTATTTGGTCATCTTGTCTCAATAAAAGAGAATCTTGAATTAACTTTCAAAATCTGATACACTAAGCATTTAAATTTTTATTAATTTTTTATTGCACACAGATAATCAAAAAGGGAAAGTTTACTCGAAACGTTTTGAAAGAAATTTTAACAGATTCAGTACCTGATGCCACAGGGAAATGAAATTGTTTTCTTGAAAACAGGCGCTATCATTTTGCGTTTGTGTTAAAATTACAGCATGATTTGTATGTTAACGTCGGGTCTGAGGGAAAACACCATATTTGAAACTTTTATAGAAATTAACTTTTTCTTTAGGATGTCTCAACTTGGTACTAACAGTGTAAATAACAATTATAGTTTCAAAAAAGCATGTTTTATGAGAGGAAAAAACTGAGAACATTAGATTATTACTCAAAATTTATGCAGTTTGAAAAACGAAAAATTCTAGGCGAATAAACAGGTGATAATAATGAAATATATAGATAAGGAGTAAAGAAAATAAACGTCGAGAAAATCCCAAATATAGCAACGTAATCAAGAGCACAGAGAGCATCCGACAGCCATGCAAATTTTTAGGACTTCCATGGCGAAAACAAGACTTCTCGAAAACGACTTGTCACTAGGAAATAGTGTGAAAGAGGTGCTGAACTCTCAAATAAGAGCATTTCAAGCCAGATTTAGCAGTTTAAAGACTGAAGAAGCCCTGAAAATGTCCATCATCTGAGAAGTTTCTTGGGTCTTAGCACCTACTGTAGGAGATTTATGGACTTTTCTCCATCGCAAAACCCTTTCAAAAGCTGACAGACAGCAA